CGATCTCATGGACCATCTGGTGTTAATACCTACCTACGACGTAAATGCTGCCACCTACCTCGAGACATATGTTCTAAGTCTCAGTATTAACAATAGAACGGCTGCCTTACCCTTCAAACCGAAACGCATTACTGCTTCACGGCAAAAATAGGCAGGGTGGTGGTACCTACCCGTGCGGACTCAAGACGTCCTACCACCAGTAAAAACACCAGTTTCTGTATCGTATTACTTTTATTCGAATAACCAAATATCAGAGGAATGCGAATGAACCAAGGTAATACTTCACGCAGTACGTCCAAGTCAACCTCTGATAGCTTCATATAGGTCGAGAGCGTGTGTAATGTCAGGGAATACACAAGTGATTAATATCGTTAAGAATCATGCGAAGACGTCTACTGACCGAAATGATTTCTCAAAGAAGTAAGCACTTGAGTTCAGATTCTCCAACTTTTTTTTGTAATACTCCTTACATGTTGATGTATAGAACAAAATCTTGGATATTCTGCTTTATCAATTTCTTACGAACACAGATAGGTGGTAGCTCCATGAAGAAAAACTGAATCTTTGAACATTTTTCTTAATACCTTTAACTTTTACTATATAATGGTGCTTACTTTAGATATTATGTGTTAGATCACTATACTCAGGTTTTGTCTTTTCTGATTTACTTAAAATATGAATTTATGAGGTGACGTAATATTTTGCCACAATCAGGAAGATTTTATTGAAATCGCAACACTGTGTGGTCGCGGACACGTGCCGTCTGAGGCAATAGCTCCCCGTGGCTTTTAATTTCGTTCTATTCATGATATGAAATATTCGAGCTTACCCTAATTAAACTGATTATTCATTTGATTTTTATGTACAAACAGAATGTGTTGCGGTATGTGTCAACGAGTACTTAATTTAATGATTTATTTTCAAAATAAAATTTGTTGTCAATGACAAATCATGTTGTCGAAGAGTTCGTCGTGGTTTAAAGTATCAAGCGAAGCGACCACAGAAATAATACCATTTATTTATTTCTGTGGAAGCGACAGTGTCGGGGTTCAAATCCCGCAGGCACAAGCCTCGTGCTTATATGTATCGAGATCTCGTAATATATTTTGGTTTGTACAGAGTGTAATTCAGAAGATGTGTTTTTTTGACTACCTTATGACCAAAAGCCTCGAGGTGCTACGGGGCTTAGCCTGAGAGACTGCTATCATCCGTCCTAGCAAGAGCAGTGCTTCGTAGAATCTACTATCGAATTGGAATCGCGACCCATTGAGAAGATCCGGCGAGGAGCTCAGTGGATTGTGTCTGTGGGTTGAATTGCACGTCGAATCTATGGTGACATTCGACGAGTTAGACAAGAACGATGACCGATACATGAAAGGCACCGAGACTGAATCGAGAAGAGAGAAGAGAAGATCCGAAATGACGTGTTTCTTCTCTTCTCTTCTTTTTTTTATTTTTTTTTGTATTTTTTTTTAATTTTTTTTATTGCTTAGATGGGTGGACGAGCTCACAGTCCACCTGGCGTTAAGTGGTTACTGGAGCCCATAGCGGACTCATAAGAGGTCCTACCACGAGTTAGGATGACGGTGACTGTGTGTTTCCCGGCCGTCTCGATGGGATTCCATAGGGATTAAAATATATTTTTATAATTGTGAAAATAATTATTCGTGTTACAATATAATTAAATTTTCCTTACATTAATACCGCGAAATGTAAATAACCGTTTAACAAATAAAATGATATCGCAACAATAGCGATACGATCCCACTTTTATTCAACACCGGAGAACATCTTCAGTTCTCTGTAGGTATTCGTGATTTCTTTGATTCGTGCCCATTGTGCCCCTGATAAAGGACACTTTTCAGTTTCTGCCGTTTGAATGAATACACCCATTATGTCTACACAAAAGTGGATATTCCAAACAAAAACATCATTGCTGCGGTTATTACGGAGTAAAAAACAATTCATATTCCATTATGATTTCGAACAATGCCTAGTTGGTGAAAATGTTATTTTGTCGCAAATTTCGTCGGATATCGATCGACGTTGGGGCGTTCAGGCTCACAAGGTTTTCTCTTTTGATGGTTCGATGTATTTGATGAATCATCTGTACATGGATCTTTGGACTTTAGTATTTGATATACTAACAGAAACTGTTGAATTATCTGTACAAAATTGAATCGTAGTTTGTAAGATTAGCTTGTTTTATAATTTCGTCACTTCAACATTTGACTCTAATGGCTTTGAAGCGGATTGCAGTCATAACTCAAGAGTTTTTTATTAGAATTTCTCGAACACTACGGTCATGCCTACAAAAACAAATCCCATGCGTGGGAAAAGAAGCACAGGCCTCATTTTATAAAAATAAATATTGTTTCCTTAAGGTCATTAGTTATTGATGACTCTCTCGGGCGCAAGGACTTTTCTCAAAACGCATATCCTTCTTCTTCTTCTTCTCCATCGCTCCCTCATTGCTGAGGATCGTGACTCCGTTTTAGCTTGTCGACTGTCAGCTTCCATCGGTTCCGGTCAGTTGCCTGGTGTAGTGCAGCGCTAAGTGGTCCGCTGGTTTGCTCGGAGATCTGGTCGGACCAACGTTTGGGTCCGAAAATATGTTTGATTAAATGTAAGCTGATCGTATTTTTCATTATTCACGAATAACCTATCTATAACTTCCAACAGAAACAAAAACCGATTTACCGATCATGAGGATGACTAATTATATTTAATCGATTGTTAAGAGCCTCATCAGTAGTTCGAGATGCGTGGGCTTCAAAGTTAGAACCAGCTTGATGTGAATCGATTATCTGGGGCATCTGTTTTTACTGGTGGCATTACCTCTCGTGAGTCCGCACGTTTAGGTACCACCGCCCTACCTATTTCTGCCGTAAAGCAGTAATGAGTTTCGGCTTGAAAGGTGGGGTACAGCCGTTGTAACTATACTGAGACCTTAAAACTTATATCTCAAGATGAGTGGTGCATTTACCAAGTGGGCTTTGAGCTCGTCCACCTATCTAAGCAATAAAAATAAAACTGTTCCTTGATGGATCTTTTCGGAAAGACCGTTTCAGTAACATTGATAGTTAATTACGAATCGAACCGGAAACTCCTGTGGTCAACGTCAGAACGGTACTTTGGTAAGCTATGCATCATGATAATCGCCTTATCGTTGCCGCCGTTGACTACTCCCCGACTCCTGCTCGCGGCGGAGCCAGTCACCGTCGACGCCTTAGACAATTCCTTACAGATCCATCAGATCCATTAACTTCAGAACTAGACGCTTTCTGCTCTAACACTAGGAGCCGGCTTAGGGACTCTGGTAATCGTACACAAGGAACTCGGCAGAGTTGAACATGCTACCTAACTCATACATCAGCTCGCTGAGTTTCTCGCTGGATCTTTTCAGCGGGTCGCGATTCCGATTAGGTGGTAGATTCATTCGCGAAGAAGCTGCCTTTGGGTTGATAGGTGTCCTCCGAAGGCGCTTGGGCTGCTATTAGCAAAACCCTTCGCTCCGGGCTAAGCCTTTGCTCGCCCACCTGTCCTGGTGAAACTGGGAAAGCCCACGTGACACAAATAATTCTTCATTAAAAAATTTAAGGAAGCTAAACATTGGATGAGAACTTGTCAGTGCAGCTTATTTATTCCGCTGCAAATTCGTGTTCCGGTGTGAGAGGAAGATTGCATGCAATGCAATGGATGTCTCAAGGATGATGTCAGGCGATGACGTCAGAGTTGTTTGAGTTTTAGTAGTAAGTAAGCTCATAATGAGCACACAGCCGTCTTCAGCAGAGAATAATAAATAAAATGTATAAACTAAAGCGATTCTAGATATTTTTATAATATAATTTTGATCTAGTAATGTAGACAGGAATACAATAAAAATAGATCTTAATACAAAACTGTTCAGAGAATTAAATAATTTTGAATAGGAGAAATGTTAGTAATATTAAATAGACGTAGGTATCTAACTGGTAGGTGAGGCTACTGCTCACCGTGGTCACCCTTTCTCCTAGTTATCAGCATCCCACAGACAGATCCAAGTCACACCTCCAAATACAATATAATAAAAATTTTAAATTGTTGGATATCTTTATATTCATAATAAGAAAATTTGAAATTAATGTATGAAAAGCCAAGCCTTAAGAAAGTAGCGTCATCTATAAGCTCATTGTAATAATCTTAACATACATAGCAGAGCCATCTAGGATTGGTCGAGGCATTTTCAAGAAGTCAAGTATAGATGGCGCTATCTCGTTTTGACGGAAATTGTCCCATTTAAACGTGTACTTTGGTTTTGAACTATTTCAACCAGATGGCGCTTCTGTACATGTCGGCCATTTTGTTGGGATTGCATTGCAAATATTGTATGTATAGTATAAAAATGTACTTGTACTTTGTTAGTTAATTTGACAAAGTACTTATTGATTTTAATTGCTAAGGGCGAGTATGGTCTCTTTGGGTATATAACAAAGAGAAAATGAAAATTGTTTGAAAATTTACATAAATAACTAAATTATTATCAAGTAGTCAATGAAAACAATGAACATAGGTAGAGTTAGAGGGTCAGGTGGTGCACAAAATAAGATAAATATGGTGGTAAATTTGACTTTCGGGCGAAATTAATTTATTACGTATTAAAACAAACGGATAATTGCAAATACCTAGCAAATAGTATTTTTTCTTTTTTGTTAACTTCTAACCTTTAAATATTTTCCCAAATGTTTAATTCGCAATTCGTTAGCATCGTATCAATTTATTTGTTGCTGGCTTCAAGCCAAAGATAAATGACCTATGATATCAAAACGTGATCACCTTACGCGTTATCGTTTATAAATTATTCCAATTGTAAGATTAAAAAAATACAATCTATTTCTGCTCTCCTACATCATTAAATTTATTTATAAACGACGTAGGCGAGCGATGTTTAGCTTTAGTCGAATCACGATATATCAGTATTCTTGTCTACTATTAATAGGTATATAAATGAAAACACATTCTTACATATAAAAATATTTTATTAAAAACATTTTGGTAACATTTAATAAGAACACTTAGGTAAAAATAAATCGACCTCAAAATTATTTTAAAAGAACAGCCTGGACTGGAAGTTCACGGAGGAAGCCGGAACAGCAAAAACTAAAATAAATAAAAACAATGATAACACTCTAGGCAGAGACGTGTCTAATTGACAACCAGAATTAAGGCATCGCAAGAATAATTATTTAAGTACGATAAAATACCTACGGCTATTATTATAATTACAACAAATAAACGCCTAGTGTCTATCTTTCAGTTGTGTATGCTCGCGACCCTGTACAACTCTCTTGGCAGGGAGCTTACATCGAGTATTATTGCCACTAACATTATTCACATCACACACGAGACATCTTGCTTGCCACTACGTAGTAATTATACACTACTAAATACTAAAACATCCCAATTATACGAAGCTAGTTTAAAATTTTACCTAACTAATAATAATAATATTAACATCTTCGGTTAATTTTGATACTAGAATGATATAACATCATTAAATATTGTACTCTTAACATTACGCTGGATTAAATTAAATTGAGGAATTAAAACATTTTATACATAATATTGCAAGCATTACTGAGATTGTGCACGTTACGTGGTTCGTTACAAACATTAACATTTGATATACTTAGCGTTAGAAGGAAGTTTGCTTAATAATATTATACTGAAGTGGACAAGATGAGACGAGCTCTCTTCCGATGTTGGAGTCGAGCTGTCACAGCTACATTAAAGGAACAGTCATATAGATTAAATTACGAGCATTGGCACTTTTCAATATTAAATCTTAATTATACTCTCGAAATAGCACTGCACATCGATAACCAACTTAAAAACTAAATTCAGATCAGTCATTTATGATATCACATCAAAATAAACAGGGAAATACATAATATGTGATCATCGATTGAATATACTATGTAATAATTATTATATTCTTTTCAAAAGAGGTATTAATTTTCTTAAGGGTCACTAAAAATATTGAGCTCTGCGCCGAGCGCGACGCACTATATCACCATAATACGAGAATAACATTGAACCAATAAGATTTGGTGCCTGGAGTTCGTCTCCCGAGTTATTTCTATTTCGCTAAACCTACATAATGCTTATCAGATATACGTAATACAGGCCGGAAGTACGTGCGACATCGGTGTCGATATGCATTTATTACGTCAAATTTAGCGTAGCAACACCGGATGCAGACGTTCTCTGGCTGAACCCTTCATCCTTATACAATTTTGTTATAAAAATACTGTCATTTGACTACAGTTGAATGAAATAAAATAACATGAGAACAATACATAGAATAATAAATATTATTATGAATAATATCATGTAATTGATTTGACTAAACATTTTAAAATGCATAAAAATTGTAATGATTGAAACATTTGTAAAATCATTTAGTATACAACTTTAATTATTCACTCTCGATCAAACAAATAAAATTAGTGATGGAAAGTAATAAATTGATTTTCGATTTTCTTGTTAAATAAATAATAGCACAACACCCAAATTATTTGGCAATGTGATTTTAAATAAACATTAACAACTACTACCCTCGGCTGCTAAACTTAAAACACAAAACTGGAATGCAAATATTGCATCGTACCTCAGCACCTCGCGGCGCTTACATCACAACTAACACTTAGGAGACATGCACAACAACAGCTAGTCTACATCTGTGCGTTTCGCTCCGAATACTTTCCTTTGAACTACATGCGATTGCAGCTTTGTCACAATATAATGATAAAAACTAAAAATAATCTGAATGCAACATTGATTTCATTATAACCAATAACAACCGTGCGAGTGCGCGTGACTGAGGATATAGCACACTAGGCAAGCAAAGACACCTCTCAACAGAACTATACATTCATTATTCGCAAACAGTTATCATATGAGGTGCCTTCTAAAACAGGCATTAAGTATGTACTCATGTCAGCTGCATTCTGAGATCTATGCTATATGTTCAGTCATTACACACTGAATCATAAATAAATATATAAATAAACAATTTGTTTAACATTTTAACTATAATTTTTTTGTGTTCATAGCCCAGTTCGTTGTACAAACACATAAAAAACAGACTTGCATTTATGACTCCATCTAAAAATAAAGTATAATTTAATGTAGATCTCTATAAACTGTTGTTGTGGTCATAACATTTTAAACATAGGTCATCAAAACATAAAAAGAAAATGTGCGGATGTTGGTCCCCTCCAAAATTTGCCGACCGTCAAGCGAACTCCATTTTTATAACAAAGAAAATTTGGAGAACTATATAATGTATTGTCTCGTATCAATATTTTATCTTTATAAAAATAACTTTGTGGGAAATATGTCAACATTAATAATAATAGTGTACAAAAAGTCCAGTTCAAATTTTAAAGCTGATCTCCACATAGTAGAACTAAACTTGCACAGGAGGACAGTATCAATTAAATTATTGATTAATTTAGTTAGTATGTTATACATTTACTTATATGTTATTCAAGAGACTCACACTATTAAATACCTTGACTAAATTAAAGAGACCATGAATAGTACATTAATATTATATATGCACATACATAGAGATATTGCCAGTCTGTAACGACACTTATTATAATTTCACTAGGAACCCAGTATCTGGGCAATTCAATGACTCAAACGTTTTAAAACGGTCTGTAACAACTACTAATACCTTAGAATATCTAATCACTGCATTAATTTGTGATGATATGCACTGATAACCCATTTGACTATGTTTTGTATGGGCTCGTCATATAATTAAATGAGGTGTTCAAGCTTTCTCATCAAGTCATATAGGGAGTTTTTGGGAACTGTCTAGATCATAGCTATATGTCATCACTTTTATGTATTAATATGCTCGGACGGTAAAATCCAACAATCGTTATTAGACCTTAAAAATTAACCTACAGCTTGGCTTTAAATTCGTGCCTATCTCGTCAAAATCGTAAATTTAAATAACATCCGAGAAGCAGCCTTTTGGTTTAAACAATGACAATCCTATTGATAAATGACTGTGGAATATATCTTAATAATTATATCTAGAAACTAATGAATAGAGTAAAACAATATTTAAACAATAATTATTACACACTATGGTGGGAAGTAGCTCATGTTATTGTAAGTTTATGTCTAAAATTTAAATATTGCTTTAAGAGTACCCGGACTTGGAATCCATGAGCTGAACAAGTCCTTTATACTAATCAATTTAAATTGTGGCTAACAATTTATTGTTAATATAATATTCTTTGGATAAAAAAAAATTAATTCATTAACATTTCTAAGAGGAACTAAGTGTAGAATAAAATAAAATGAATATATTATTTTAAAATTTCAACAGTAAAATAATTTGAGTTTTGAGATATGTTTTAGCAAATGATTTTTTAAGTTAATTGAAAATGGGAGCTAGTAATGTTGATTTGGAATAAATGTAAATTTTTTTGGCATAATATTCAAGTAGAAATATTGTTGTTTTTAAATTAAGCCTAATTATCACACAATTCAAAAAGTGATTAGAAACTATGTCTAATTCGCATGTCCATTGTGTGTTTCTATTTAATGAAATTGTACAAAAATGTCTTGTTTAAATTAAGATCACAGTATTAAGTCACATTAAATGTATCTTTAACGTGAGAAACAATAGCCACATATTCCACAGTCATCTGTAGAACTGGGTCACAGCAGGAAAGCATACAGACACTACTAGTAGGATAGTCACAAACCAATAACTACAATTCAAACAATGAAATAAAGATTCATCTCAAAATAAATGTAAACAAAGTAAATAAATTTTGATAAGTGAGCAAACAATACAATGATTGATTTTTATCTCTGCCCTTTCTAAACAAAACACTAATTATGGACAGTTTTGGTAAAATTGTAAAAACTGTTGAACATTGTTTGTTGAGTCATTGGTTCTGAAGTGCAAATGTGACAGTCAGAATAAATAAAAACATTGATATGCAGCCTGATGTGTCCCAGTTGTACCCTTTCAACTTAATGTTTGTTCGAAATTTAATGTGACAGAAAATCACATCAATCTGTAGCAGCCACAACCCATGTGAATCCACAGAGACGGCAGTTGTCTTTTACATACTGTGTGCGAGTTCCATATGGTCCCAAGCGATGATACTGGGAGCGATTTGCGAAAAACAATGCAGGATTATTTGGTGGCAATATTGTGGCACGATAGCTCCATCTCGGGTCAGTGAGATTTGCCATCAGATTGAGGATGTCTCTGCCACCATACGTAACTTTGACATCTTCGGCTTTCTTCTCCTGTGGGCGCGGCTGCAGCTGCAAGACTGGTTCGAAGATTTTCTGAAATGGTCAGTGCTTCTTGTAAACAGTGTTAGATAAGACGATCATAAAAAAAAACAATACAACAAAAAGTTATAGTTAATTATCACCTATGTTTTGCTAAAACCATGTTGACAACATAAGGTATATTAAATATAGTAAAATTGATATTAGCACTTAGTTTACACTGTTGCTAACGTTGCTAACAATACGTACACATTATTCTGTAGTATATACGTACATAAATATATTGGTTACATTAATAAAATATGGTAGCTAAGTGTAAATTAATTTTGGCAAGGACCGATTTTCCGTGATAAGGTAGACATTTTGTATTAGGTACACACATACCTATTATAATATGTGCAACACGTTTCAACAACATATTTTGAGTGTAATTTTATCCTATGCTACTGAAATATTTCCATTATCACACTTCGATAGTGTACACAACAATGATAGCGTAATAAAGACATTCGCCATTACGGAATATTATGAAAATAGAGAGGTCAAGGCCAGGACATATTCATAGTGAATAAATAACTTAACAATAAGCACTCACCTTTTCAGTCGTTTGAGGACTTGAAGGCAGGGAGTCACTGTTCACTGATTCGGATTTGAGTGATCCTAGCGAACCGATACCGCTAGATTCACTGGACACTGACGGGCTTGGGCTCGATTGCGATTGAGATAAACCCGCGATCTCAATTATATGACCAAACGAGCTGAACGAGTTAAAATTATCTGTCTCCAAGCCAGTTAAGGGAAGTGCAACGCTAAGAGCCATGTCTGCAAAAGTAAAATCCGATTTGTATTGAAATTACACGTGCAAAAGTTCCACTGCGCTATTGTGAGCACTGTTATGTTGACAGAATTTAATAGAGCCTACAACCGCTTTCGAACCACTACACTTTCAAACAAATGCAGCACTCACCTTTGACTAGAATAAAAATGAAAAACTTCAATGATCACACGGTATGCTATGAGAAAACAATAATTACCGAAAAGCGTTATCCCATAAAGCGCAAGCCTCGACGTAGTTGAAAGAGATCGAACATTTATGCAGTGAAGCTAGCGTCAAACGCCAATTGTCGAGCAGCAAGCGCCACCGGAAAGAACTCTATCGCTAAAACAGTAAACTACGCAGTATCGTGAATAAAGTACCGTAAAATGGGGCGATTCGGGACAAATTCCAACTTTATGAGCAATTTTAAGGTAGTTGTTGATGTATAAAATGCTATATAAGGATCAAAATGATTGAGTCTTGGGGGCATCTTTGTTGTCTAATTTAAAATTATGCAACTAGCATTCCAGTTTAAGCAAAAAATGCAAAAATAGGTGTAATCCCTATTTACCCGAAAATTGCGGTTAATTGGGACGAAATGAGAAATTTGCTAGGGTTGGCACTACTTTTATTTTTATATATAGTTTTAATTTATTTATTTATTTAGTTGCACCAACAAAGTGATCATCAATAAAAAAAATTGAAAAACTGACAAAAGTACATGGCAGACATCACCTCAATTATAGGTGCAATCGACAGTGCTGATATTTCTATCTGGGTTAAGAGATTAGGTGTGTCGGTTATTCCATGGATTAATCAGATGAATACCCCCACTCTGAACAAATATTAAATATTTTATTATGTATTACTTAGACATTTTTGTCCACCTTGAGATTTCATTGATCTTGTTACATGTCTCTGCAAAATCGACTTACTTATATTAAATTGCTTATCTATTTCAACTAAAGACTTATTCCCAATTTCGCTTCGAATAAACCAGATTTTTACCAACAAATTTAAAAAATATTGTTATAACTACATAGACAACCCTACAAACCTGTACCTATTTATACTTAGGTCGTTTCCATTTCACGTATTCTCATCCCAATTGACCCCTTTTTCGTTGTTATTTGTACCTAAGACGTCCCCAATATCCCCAAAAACAACAGATTTTTACATGTATTTTTATTTAATCAAATACATTAAAACCAATAACAACTGAGACTTACCTTTAATATATATGCTGGTTCAAACACTAAATAACGTTTATAAATCATAGTCGTCTTCTATTATTATCAAATAAATCAAAGAGAGCAAAGTTTCTAGCACTAAAATAATTACCACCACAGGAAGTTAATTTGAAACGCGATTTTTTATAAGTTAGCAGCTATTATCATGCATGTTCAGAGTTGTTTTGTGAACTTTCAACATTCTACTATTAAACTACAAAAAATGGAAGATTTTGCAACGAATATAAAACTTATATTGAGCATCGAAAGATTTTTCCGGTTTTTTCCCGATTCGCCTCTCAATCCCTAATCGCCCCATTTTACCGGTAGTTAATAAATTACTATGCTCCAATACATCACTTTCTGGATAATAAAAATAATTTCAAACATTTATAGACTAGAAATTAACATTAATAATTTACATTCAGAGTATATTTATGTGAAAAATAATGGTTATGTTTTGTACTGCCATCTAGTGGCAAATTTAGAAGAAATGTACACATTCCCCTAGTTTTGTTGCTCGTCATACCGGTTGGTTTCAGAAATATTCTAATAGGTGGCAGTGTCATCAAAGATCGGCATTTAGTTCAAAGTCGGTTTGCAGAGGGCACTGTCACAAATATCACCTTTGTTGTGTTGTTGATTTAATAAACCCTGTTAATCATCTTTGGCATCGACTCTAATATTAAATGCCCAATGCCTACAAATAGATAATTTATTAAGCCTTTCTAATCTACGAGTATGAACTGGGTTCGAGGAAAGTGAGGTGAATACCGTAAAAATGCTAACAAAGTTGGTATACCTACCTACCTCAAACGGCGTACTATTGTGTGAAAGAGTTTATTTTTGTTTAATAAGATGTGTTTAGTATTATATTCTTCCCCTTTCGTGAGTAGTAAACACAATTAAAACTAATTTTAGAGAATACCACTTATTCATCATAAGAGCTTTGAAATTATCCGTAATGAAGACTTTAATCTGGGCATTGATAGCCATTTTGAGACGTAGGCTCACTATGTACGGACATCTGTGAGCTTTCGCGGGTGTTTACAATCATCCTTTTTCAGCAGCAAACCAGTCAAACTTCCGAAATTGGTTTTTCCAGAACAAAAATCAACCCAATTTGAAAGAGTGATTTCTTCGGTTTTCACGACTCGTAGATATGGATAGGTAAAACAATTTTTATAAGGACGACCATTATTACCACGCAGATTAAATTATTCGAAACTTCCTAAATAATATGATTTAAAAAAAAGCGCGAGATTTAACCGTAAAATTAGTTTTAATTATTTTTGTATTACAGGCAGAGACAGACCACCTACCCGTTACTAAGCGGCTACCGGACCCCATCAACAACGCAAATTGATTGAGTGATTGTATTGAGTACATCATCTTACTAACTGTTGAAAGTGAAATACGTTATTGCTTTGTAGTGGGAATGGGCAGAATGGTAGTAGGTACTTTACGTGCTAGAGATCGCCCTACCAATACAACAAATGGGGCTTTGACTTCACGTATCTAGTTCAGTGGCCATATCGACATTTTGATGTCCATGGACCACGGTTGTCGCTTAGGTGGTGCGTGAGATCGTCTGCTATATACAGCAATACAAATAAAGTAATCATGGTCCTATTTGTATTCGTTTCTCTTCGGTAGCTTTTGTGTGTGTGTGTGTATACACAACAAATTTTTCTAACGGTCACATTATTAAATTCAACTAGTATTTTATTCACAGCTTCGCACAATTCTCCTATAAAGCTCGATTACCTACCTAAATATTATTCACATTAAAAAAAAACAAAGGAAGCGTCGCGGCGTAGTTCGTATCACTAGTGTCCTAATTACTAGTGTTTAATTATTATACCTAATTACTATACGTAAAGAATTATCTACATCTGGTAATACGTATTAATTAACGATTAAGGAATATCATAATACTAAATAGAGAATATTAAAAAAAGCAGGCATTGCTGAAGTTCATGGGCGACGGTAACCACTCACCATCAGGTGGGCCGTATGCTCGTCTGCCTACAAGAGCGATAAAAAAAAACAAGGTGCGTAAACCTTTTTATTTTATTTTTAACGCTGGGGCATCCGTTTACGGATACCCGGTCGAGAGGGGTAACAGACCGGGTTATGTCGGACTCCGGCGCCTCCAGAGAAGAAGAGGGAGAAGAGAAAGGCCAAAGTCCTCCTCTTCTTCCTAAACCGACTACTGACTAAACCCCATCGAGCTCCACCACTCCGACTCCACGAAACCTACGGTACCGCACAGTGCGCGCCGAAGGCTCGCCGTCACCGGTACCCGTCCTGACAATAGGACGGGATTCCATCCTTGGGAAGATCCCGCAGGACGTCGTCTCGGGAGACACACCGTGAGTGGCGCACAGGAGCCACCTTGCGCCACCTCACCACGGAACCGACAGCAGAGCACCGGGCGCCCCCGCAGCCGGTATCCAACAGTCCCTACGCGGGATTAACGGGAGCATCGTGCCCGCGTCGCCCACCCCGCCTTCTTCGCTGAGGAGCCGAAGAGGGATCCCACTCCCTTTCGCGCTCCTCAGCCTCGCGGAACGCCATGACCAGGTCGCAAAATCTGGCCATGGCCTCCCACGAACTCTCGTCCTCTAGCATGCGGGCAATGACAGCCCGCAAGGAGAGGTCCCTCCCCAGCACCGCGTTGAGATCTCGCCGCGGGCACGTTTCGAGTGCATGCTGAGCGTCATTGTCCGGATGCCCGCACTGCTGACAACCCGGATGTGGCTCTCTCCTGCAGACCTTCCACAGGTACCTCCCAAAGCAGCCATGCCTCGAGAGGACCTGCGTAAGGCGGAAGGAGAGCACGCCGTGTCGCCGATCTGACCATGTCTCCAGCACGGGCACCAGGGCCTCGAAAGGTGCGTAAACCTTGATCAGTGATGAGTGTGAAATATTTATTACCTATCAGAATCTATCTTTATATTTATCTACTTTAGAGCTATAGACAAACTCACGGTAGACATTGACATCACGAAAGTGAATCACCTAGCATTTTTCATACCTATGCTGGTAGCCTTGAGAGCCTATTTCAGTTTCTCCTTGACGTATAGGTGAGCTCACGGGGCTCAAACCGGAGTGTTGCTAGCACTGGCTCTAGCAATACCAGTGCTTCGCGGAATCTACCACCGGATCGAAAACGCGACCCACTGAGAAGATCCGGCGAGAAACTCAGCGGGCTGGTGTGCTACCCATACCTACCGCAGATACGCATGTATTTTAATTCACAATTTACTTTGGCATTAGGATTTAGGCACAGCTTTTTGTTAATTTCACAATTTACTTTGACAATAGTATTTAGGCATAGCTTTCTTCTAGCAAAATTATAAGTTATTTGCGTATCGTTTCGATATTTATCAAGTCCGCTATAGGATTTCTTAAGGCTTTTTTTTCATCTTATATTTTTTAGATATAAATATAAGAATAGCAGAAGAATGAAGCAGCGGCTTGGCCCTGCCGCTGACATTGCTGACGTCCAGAACGCGAACTTCAGCAATTACCATCAGTACCAATTATAATTTAAAAGTCGTCGTGGCCTAAAGGAAGGATACGACGTCCAGTGCATTCGTATCTTGCGATGCACTGGTGTTCGAATACCGCAGACGGGTACCAATTTTTCTAATAAAATACGTAGGTATTTAACGTTCACGATTGATTTCCACGGTGAAGGTAGGTACCACCACCCCGCCTATTTCTGCCGTGAAGCAGTAATGCGTTTCGGCTTGAAGGGTAGGACAGCCGTTGTAACTATACTGAGACCTTAGAACTCATATCTCAAGCTGAGTGGCGGCATTTACGTTATAGATGTCTATGGGCTCCCGTAATCATTTAACACCAGGTGGGCTGTGAGCTCGTTCACTCATCTACACAAAAAAAATTCTTTCTCGCGAATCCTTGAAAGGCCTTGAAAGGTCGACATAGTTCAGAAATACTGTGCACATCATTCAGAATAATCTATCATGTTTTACAGATTACTTCAGCGACGTTCAATAATCACG